TTTTTCTTTTAATTTTTTCGGTTTTTCAAGAAGTTGTCCTGGAACTAGCTCTGTAGACCAGGCTGGTCTTGAACTACAGAGATCCACCTGCCTCTACCTCCCAAGTACTGGGACTAAAGGCATGAGCCACTACCACCCAGTTTAAAACCTATTTTTAACAAATCCTAACTGCTTCATTAAATATAATAACTGTAAGAGAATTCAGCATACAAAGGTGCTTGCCTTGATGCCAAGCCTGATGACCAGAATTGGAATCCTGTAACCCACATGGTGGAAGGAGAGAACCAACTCTTGAAAGCCATTCTCTGTCCTCCACAAGAGCTCCTATGCACACACATGCACACAGGCATGCACATACACAATAAACACATGCAAAAGCTACTTAATAAGGATGAAGATATAGCTCAGCCTCACAAAGGGAGGGGGAGAATGAGTAAAATAAACCTCTGAGCAAAGACTGTCCCAAAAGTGCATGGTACAGACTTCAGAAGCTGCAGAGGTTTTGGAGGGAAGAAATAAAAACCACCAAAAATTCAAGAAAACGTAGAAGGCAGCGGGACTTGCTGGCATACCCCTTTAATTCCAGCACTTGGGAGACAGAGGCAAGCAGATCTCTGAGATGAAGGACATCCTGGTCTACACAGCAAGTTCCAGGCTAGGGAGAGAAATGCTGTTATGGTAAATACAAAGTAAATAATAATTTCAAAATTCTAAAAAAAATTTCAATGTTTTAAAATTTTATGTGTATGTATATTTTGCCTGTGTATGTATACCATATGTGGTCAGTGGTCTCAGATGCCAGAAGAAGATCTCTAGGGACTGGAATTATAGACAGTTGTGAATGCTGGGCATGGAACTCATATCCTTTGAAAGAGCAGCCAGTGTTCCTTATTACCACTGAGCCATCCCTCCAACCACCCCACAAAATAGTTATATCCAAATTATATTTGTAAAGTACATGTTTTGTTGTTGTTGTTTGGTTTCTAAAGAGTGTTTCTCTGTATAGCCCTGGATGTTCTGGAACTAGCTCTGTAGACCAGGCTGGCCTTGAACTCACAGAGATCCACCTGCCTCTGCCTCCTGAGTGCTGAGATTAAAGGTGTGTGTACCACCACTCCAAGCTAATTTTTTTTTTTTTTAGTCCAACTGTGTAGCCCTTGCTGGCCTTGAACTCCACTATGTAAGCCAGGCTGGCTTTCAAACTCAAAAGAGACCCACCTGCCTCTGGCTCCAGAATGCTAGGATTAAAGATGTGGGCTACTACACCCAACATTTTATTTTATTGAGACGCAAGGTCTCACTAACAGTCCGGGTCGCCTCAAACTTGCAGCAGTCTTCCCCAATGCTGTATTTGAGGCCTGAGCCATCCCTCTGAGGCCTGAGGCCTGACTGCTACCTCAGCTCTTGTGTGTACCTCCCATTGTTCATCTTTCCATTTACTGACTGAGCTCTTTTAAACTGATGTGTTTGTATGTGTATCTGTGCGGGGATATATACAAGCAAGTGTGCATGCCCCCTGAGGCCAGAAGAGTATGTGGATCACCTGGAGCAAGAGTTGCAGGCCATTGTGAGTCACTGGATGGGGGTTCTGGGAACCGAACTCTGGTCCTCTCATCCTTACCCACTGAGCTGTCTCTCCAGCCCACTTATTTACTGTTCTGTCCTCCCAGTCTCAGCTTAAAGGCCATTTTCTCACCACATTACACCTAGAAAGGACTTTCTGTCCTTCTTTACATGACTCAGCACACTGTGACTAGTAATGTGTTGGTGTGTTGAAAGATGAAGGTGTGCTGGCTGTGAGAGTGGCGCATCACTTGGAAGACCCATGTACTGAGTGCCTTCCTGTTGTGTGTGTTTGCTTGCTTTTGAGACATTACGACAGTCTTATGTAGCTAAGTCTGTCCTTGAGCTCCTGGCGCTCCTGCCTTCCCTCTACAGCACTGCTTTTCCAGGCTTGTAACATCATGCTCAGCTAGCATGAAGGTCTGCCATTTGTCTGTTTGCTTCGTGGTTATATAGTGATTCTGTCAGAAGCCCTCCTGCCTATGTTGAGTTCCCACTATGCTTGTAGATGTGCACATGAATAACTGGAAGTGTCGCTTCTCCCAGGGAGGCACGGACACACCCAGGATACACACAACCACGACGTGTGAGTGCTCAGTTCACATTTGAATGAGTGTTCACAGTGGACACCAGGAGTTACTTCAGCTCAAGCCTTTATTGTTCTCTCAGAGACTTTGGACCAGGGCGGAAGCAGGAGCTGGACAAGCAAAGGGCAGAGTCCGGTCCTGCTCTGGGCTAGGTCCATCACTGAGACCTGGAAGAAGGGAGACAAGAAAAGAGGGGATGGAAGGGAAGGTGGTTACCAACGTGGAGTCGGCTCAGCAGATGTATCCCGGCGCCCAGGCATAGATAAACCACTCCTATCTGCAAGTAGTCCTTTTGTTTTTGGTTTTTCCAGACAGGCTTTCTCTGTGTTTCAGCCCGGGCTGGCCTAGAACTACCTTTGTAGAGCAGGCTGTCCTTGAACTCAGAGTTCTGCCCTCCTCTGCCTCCCCAGTGCTGGGATTAAAGGTGTACACCACCACTGCCCAGCTTCAAATGATTTATCAGCCATCGAAATCATTCACAAAGTACATAGACAGTTCCTCATCTTCCTATGGAGGTTTCTCATCTCTACTGGCTTGATCACATTCCATATTTGTGTGTGTGTGTGTATGTATGTGTTTGTGTATATGTTTATATGTGTCCATGTGTTTGTGTGTGCACATGCATATGTGTGCAGACCAGAGGTTGCTGTCCACAGTGATTTTTAAAAAAAGGTTTATTTCCTTTTATGTTATGTGTTTGGGTGTTTTGCCTGTTTGTATATATGTGCACAATGTAAGTACAGTGCCTGTGGAGACCCAAAGAGAAGGCTCTGGAACTAGTTAATGGATGGCTATTAACCATCATGTGGGTGCTGGAGCAGAACACAGTTTCTCTGGGAGAACAGCAAATGCTTAAACACTGAGCCTTCTCCAGCCTTCATCTACTTTTTTTAAAAGGTGGGATTTCACTCTTTTCTCTGACTGCCTTGGAACTCATTATATAAATCAGGCTGGCATCAAACTCTCGGAGATCTGCCTGCCTCTGCCTCCCAGTATGCTGCCACCGCCCACTCCTACGTTCATTTTTAAGGAAAGATCTCTCACTGAAACCTAGAGCTCACTGATCAGCTAGACTGGTTGGCAGTCCACAGTGATGTACCCGTATCTGCCTCAACACTGGGACTAAAGGCATGCTGTGGTCCTGGCTTTCTCATACATGCAGGGAATTGAACTCAAGCCCTCATGCTTGCTCAAAAGCACTTTACCCATTGAGCTCTCTCCAGTCCCTCTCTCCCTTGTTTCCTGGATTTGCTCCCTCCATCCCGCTCCAGCTCCCACTGTTAAAGTCTGGGTGTGTTCCGGTTTCTGTGTGTTGGACTGAGGTCCTTTGTCACCATTGGGGTTTGCATATTTAGGCCCTCACTCTGGAATAGAACCTGGCAGATGGCCACTGGGATGAACAGTGATTATGGAGCAGGGCAATGTGGTACCCACAAATACAGCTTCCTAACCCTGAGAAGGTGCCACGGCCCTAAGATCATGAGGGAAAGAGGGAAAGCTGAGAATGGAATGGGCGGTGTGTGAGAAGACAGAGAATAGGAGAACAGCATCCCAGCTGGAGGAAGCTGAGAAGGAAATCTTGGAAGTACGGGTAGCGGCAAATACTGCTCAGTTTTTATTATTTCTCTGACATGGTTCTTCCTCTTTGTTTGCTTAATCCCCTTGCTTTGTCTTAGTGCATTCATTTATTGTGTGTGCACAGAGGGCCAAGAACTACCTGCAGGAGTTAGTTCTCTCCTTTCACCATGCTGGTCCCCGGGATCGGGCTCACTAGGTTTCTACCACTGAGCCACATTTCTTTCTTTCTTTCTTTTTTTTTTGGATGGGCGTGCTAGCACAACTCCCTTGAACTCACAGAGAGCCACCTGCCTCTGCCTGCTAAGTTTTAAGATTGCAGGTGTGTGCCTTCACACTCCTACCTCACTTGCACTGGCTTTATCTTATTTAAACCTAGCCACAATCCCATAAGCTTTTTTCTTCAGTATGAAGGAGAGAACCCAGGTCTTTATCCCTGCTAGGCAAGTGTTCTACCAATCTTCCATGGAAAGATTTAAATGGCCTTGGCTTTTTTGTTTGGTCCTTTGGTTGGTTCAGTTTGGTTTTGAGACAGTCTATAGCTCAGGTTGGTTTCAAATACAGTCAGTAACCGAATGTGATCTTGACCTTCCGATCTCCTGCCTCCATCTCTTGAGTGCTAGGATTGTATAAGCAAGTGACACCACACCACTTTAGTGGTTTTTCTTTCTCATCGTAGCCTCAAACTCAGATATCCTCCTGCCTCTACTTCCCTGGAGTCACCATGCCCAGCTGTGGTTTTCTTTTTGTTCTAGTTTGTTGTATTATATTAGTTTAAATTTGGAGGCAGGCTATCACTACATAGACCTGGCTGTCCTGGAGAGGACACACACACACACACACACACACACACACACACACACACACACACACACAGCCATTATAGATCTGATTTTAATGAATACTCTGAGGTGAGGTTCTGAAGGGTAGTACTTTGCTGGTGTGTATTGGGACAAAGATCTAAATGAAGACTGAGGGCAAAACACCTATAATCCCCGTACTGAGAAGACAGGAGGACCATGAGTTTGACATCAACCTAGGCAACACAGGGTGCTCTGAACCAACCTGGGCTGAGAAACCAAACAAACAAGCAGGACTGAGAATATGGCTCAGTAGTAGAGCATTTGCTTAACAATTACAAAGCCCTGGGTTCAATTCCCAACAAGACATACATGGCAAACAGACAGTGAGCTTCAAACACACACAAATCTGAATATGTCTGTCACCTGGAAGTCTAAACTTCTAACTAACAACCTTGCAACGCCCCCATGGCCCTCATGCTCCCCACCTGAGCTGGGAGAGCTCTACTTGGTCCACCATCCAGGCCAGCAGCTCTCGAATCATCAAGTCCCTCAGCATGTCTTCATCACTGGGGGTTTGGGGCAAGGAGCTGCGAAGGAGACAGATTGCAGGGGCCTGGGTGTTTTGTTTTCAGAGGGAGTCTCACCCTGTAGCCCTGGCTTTGTAAACCAAGTTGGGCTGAGTGCTAGGATTAAATAAAGCATATGCCAAGAGCTAGGGAGCCAGCACAGCTAGCTGCCTCTGGGATACCTTCACTCTCTGATCCCTGGCCTCTTTTGTGCTAGGCCCTCCTAGTTCTGCCTACCCAGGGAACACAGGGTCCTCAATTCAGGCAAAACAAACCACAGTTTTGCAGTGATGCAGCTTATCCACTCACCTCTAAAAGTATCTGAGAATGCATCCATTAGCATCCAGTGACTCCATAGAGAATGTCCCTGAGCCTCACATTCATCACTTCTTCACACACTGGGTGGCTGATATCAGGACTCTGGCTTTGGGAGAATGCCCTGGCCTCCCAAACAGCCTTCTTGAGGTTTGGTAAGGAGAAGGCAACTCTGAGTCCCTCACTCCCTGCTCTGCTCCATGCAGCGAATCCATGTATATGCATTCAATCACAGGCCTTAAAAGGGGCCCTCCGGGACTTCCTCACTGGACCCCCCTCTTTGTGCTCTTAGAGAAGGGGGTGCTTATCGTGGGGTCCCTGCCCTCCCCTGCAGTCCGAGCGAGGAAGCTGCTGTGGAATATTACTTTAACTATATAAAGGTGTGTTACAGTTGTTCATGCTGCATTTGTTTCCTTATGTAAAGGTGTGTTGCCGTTTAACCTTGCCTGCCTAAGGCACCCAACTGCTGTAATAAAAAGCTGAAGACTGAGAGCTGGGCAGTAGAAGGATAGGTGGGACTGGCAGGCAGAGAGAGTAAGTAGGAGGGAGAAAGAGAGGGAGAAGAGAAGAAGGGAGAAAGAGACGGAACACCCCATACCAGCCAGCCATGCAGACAAGGAGTAAGGCATAAAGAATAAAAGAAAGGCAAAGCTGGGCAGTGGTGGCGCACACCTTTAATCCCAGCACTCAGGAGGCAGAGGCAGGCGGATCTCTGTGAGCTTGAGGACAGCCTGGTCTACAGAGCGAGTTCCAGGACAGCCTCTAAAGCCACAGAGAAACCCTGTCTCTAAAAACCACAAAAGAACTAGTGGGACAAGCCTAAGCCAAGGCCAAGCTTCCATAACCAATATTAAGTCTCCACGTCAATGATTTGGGAGCTGGTTGGTGGCCCAAGGATAGACCGCTATGCAGTGAAGCCGGTGAGCGGGAGGCTCTGCTACCCCTCTCCTCAGAGTAGACTCACCTCTGTTGTGTCTCTGTCTCCTCCTTTTCCTGAGATTGTACTGCCAGCTCCAAAGCCCGGGCCTTTCTTTGGGTGATGTTGTGTTTCCATCTGGCGAGATGAAGATTTGGGAGTGAGTCGGTTGGAGAGAACAATTGAAGTTCCCCCACCCAGGGACACTGGGACCTTTAGTGCCTCAGCAGTAGGAGCAACAGTGCCTCTTCTCCACATCCTAACACACCATGCCCCCAACACTGTCTGTATTCAGTTGCCTCCATCACTGACAGCTCTTCAGAATCCACCAGGCCGATGAAACAGTAGCAGAACGAGATTTGGTGTAGGTTGTGAGAGGCAAGACAGTGGTTTCATTCCAGAGTTCAAAGTACCACCAGCAAACAGCCAACCCATCTCCTCCTGCCTTCATCCCCAGGCTTCTGGGTCCCTCTTGGCCCTTCCACACTTTTCTCTGGCTCCTCTCCTTAGAAATAAAGGATGGGAGAACACCTCATCCTTTGCTAGACCGCTCTATCGCCCAGTCATAGTCTCTGAGCCCTGGGCGTGGCCACTTCCTCATCCTCACTTACTGAAAGATGTCTGTGGAGTTGTGCACCTCACAGCCCATGTGGTCTCCTAGGAGGTGGTGTGAGCATAGCAGAGTTTGGCATGGGCCAGGGGGATGCAGGGAGTTACTCACTCATTCTTCTTCCCCTTCTGGGCCAGCAGCCAGTTCACAAATTCTTGTTGGCGGATCTTGTCCAAGGCAATGCTGTAGTCGCTGATAAAGGTCCCTTCTGCATACCTTGGGCCTCGAGGCCGGAGGCTACCAAATTTAGCATGGGATCTGAGAGGTGAGAGACAGAAACCGGGACAGCACTGAAGGGAGCTACATCCCCAGTCTATACAAGCTTTTTAGTACATAAAATTTGCCCATCACAGCCCTATGAGACAGCTACTATTTGTATCCCCACCCCTTTCCTTCAATTTATTTTTATTTTACGTACATTAGTGTTTTGCCTACATGTATGTCTATGTGAAGGTGTTGAATTCACTGGAACTACAGTTAGACTGTAAGCTGCCATGTGGGTTCTGGGAATTGAACCCTGGTCCTCTGGAAGAGAAACCCGTGCTCTTAATCACTGAGCCATCTCCCCAGCCCTCCCCTCTCTCTTTTGTGTGTGTGTGTGTGTGTGTGTTTCTGGGATCAAATCCAAGACCTTGCACATGCCAGGTAAGAGTTTTACCATTCTTAGCCTAGTGATGGTGGTGGTGTGCGCCTTTAATCCCAGCACTTGGGAAACGGGGATCTGAGTTCAAGACCAACCTAGTCTACAGAATGAGTTCCAGGATGGCCAGGGCCACACAGAGAAACCCTGTTTGGAATAACTACCACCACCAGTTTTACTGCCCTCTGTGTCCCCATTTTGTGAATGAGGAAAACAGGGTACCACACAGGGTAAAAGACAGATTTAGGATTCACTAGTTAAGTTGGAGCCAGGTTTCTGAGAGCTGGGGCATTGTTTGTTGTTTCAGTTGTAGGGGTGGAGCCTATGAGTCTCACGTGTGCTAGACAAGTGCTATGACACTGAGGGCTAGGGCCTGTACCACTACACGCCCAAGCCTGCTCTCCTGTAAGCATTTGACAGCTTTTGCTCACATTTTACATGTGACAACTTTGTGTGGTCCATGGATTGTCCTTTCATCTGACAAAATCCAGTACTATTAGACAAGTCTCTGCCTCAGTCCCCAAACACACCTTCAGAGCCCGGCTATACTAAACTAACCCTCATCAACTCCTTTGCCTCCTCCCTCCCTCCCTCCCTCCCTCCCTCCCTCCCTCCCTCTCTCTCTCTCTCCCTCTCTCTCTCTCTCCCTCTCTCTCTCTCTCTCTCTCTCTCTCTCTCTCTCTCCCTCTCTCTCTCCCTCTCTCTCTCCCTCTCTCTCTCTCCCTCCCTCTCTCCCTCCCTCCCTTCCTCTCTCTCTCTCTCTCTCTCCTCCAGACTCTGGTCTTGTTATGTAGCCCAGGCTACCCTCAAACTTTTCAGTCTCCCTACCAAGTGCTGAAGGTGAAGTTACAGGAGTGATCTGCCACACCCAACATTACCCCGCCATTGTCTTGAGTTTGGTCCACAGTACTCTGTAGCATGTTTGCTTGTTTGTTCCAAGACAGGGATTCTCTGTGTAGCTCTGTAGACCAGGCTGGCCTCAAACTCACAGAGATCCACCTGCCTCTGCCTCCTGAGTGCTGGGATTAAAGGTGTGTGCCACCACCGCCTGGCACTCTGTAACATGACTGTCTGGTCCTTTTCTGTGTCCACTTTGGTCTATGTACTCACTGAAGGCAGGAGCCATCAGTGGACTTTTGTTCACATGTATTCTGACCTGTGTCTGTTGCACAGGAAGCTCCTATGAGATCTGAGAGGATGGTTAGTTTTTGTAAGGGAAGCCCTACACTGCCGACTTTGCCACCAAAAAGTCCTTCCACAGACCTAGCTAACCACGCCTTTCTCACTTCAATGGGGTAATAAATAACGCCAGTTCTGTCCACATTGCATGCTCAGGCTGCAGATTGGCGCTCCTCCTTTACGTCCCTCCTCTCAGCCAGGAGTCTCTGCCTTCCTCACCACCCCAAACCAGCTTACATTCAAGCCCCCTCCACCTCCCACTCCTACCTGAATTGAACCTCTTCTTTTTCTCCCAGCCCGACTGCCAGGAAGAGGAACACCAGCAGCAGAGAGCAGGTCTTCACGGCCACCATCTTCCTAGGTTGTGTGTCTGAGCTTAGAGGAGAAAAAGTCAGTCCTGCATTGAGGGGGGATCCAGGCCACTTGATGCTGGGACTTGGGTGAGTGCTGGGAGCTGGGGTGGAGTAGGAGCAAGTGGGGGTTATAGGAAGGGATTGGAAGAGACATGGAGCCTTGGCCCAGAGCTGATCTTGCTGTGTAGATTCAGAGTGGAATGGAGGGAGAAGGTCTGGGAAGAAAGCAGAGAAGGCCTAGGTGGTGGGAACTCCCTTTCTGGCTCATTACCAGACATCACAGGGACAGGATTTGGCAAGATTATCCCCTTAAAGCCCTAACAAAGTTCACAGCAGCCCACCTTCCCACTTCCAACTAAGCTGTTATTCAGCCATCAAATCCCTCCCTTAGATGAAACCACACAGAGAACCATCCTGTACACACACACACACACACACACACACACACACACACACACACACGTACATACTTGGGCTTAACTATCGCAACTCAGAAGTTCTTCCTAAAGTTTCTTCTGAACCCCTTTCAGTCTTCTGCAGAGAGAGCAGGCAAGAAACCTTCCTTCCCTTTCAGTCCTCTGGAGAGACAGAAGACAGGAAGAAACCTTCCTCCAGATCCCTGAAGGCCAGACCTAGCCTGAGGCTTAGAAATCTGTTCTTCCTGGGAATCCCTTTGAACTATCTTCTGGATTCCCGTATAGAGAAGGAGACAGAGTAAGGAGCCAGGAGACACACTTCCTCCCAGACTATTCCATAGCCATCCCAGACTCTTTCTTACCCCACTGTTCTTCCAGCTCTTCCACGAGGACAGGATAGGGTCCCTTCCTTCTACCTGTTGGCTCTCAGGATCCTGCTCCAAGACCCGTCTTAGCTTCTTTATATAAAGGCGCAGCAGAGCTGCTAATTAGCCTGAAAGCCTCTTATCTCAGGTACTCAAGCCCACTGCCCCTGCCCAGTGCAGTCTATTGCACACCTAATGACGTTCCCTTTCCACCTGAGCTGTGCTAATGGGTGATTAACATTTGGGTATCTCCAGCCCTGGTGGGCAGGGTCCTTTGCCCATTTCCCTCCCCTCTTTTCTGGGCACTGGGCCCATTGTTCTCTGCCCTACCTCCTGTTGGGTGCTGTGTGTAGAAAGTGTCACCTGGGTGAGGGTCAACTGAAGCGGCACTCCCTGATGGAGGGGGCATCCCCATAAAGCCATGGGTTTCTTCTTGGGGAAGGGAAGGGATGGTGGTCTGACATGGGTATTAGTTGATGGTGGTGGTGCTACAGAGGTGCGGCTGCCCAGGGGTGGGTGACTTCAGAGTTCAGAGTGATTCTGGTGAACCTGGAGTTTACAATCACATGGTTTTCTATTTGGGCAGTATGACATGGGATAACATGGCACAATTATATGTTGAAGGCTCCAGAAAAATCTAACTCCTTCCACAAAGATTTTTTTTTTTTTTAAGGCAGGTCCAGGTTGGTCTCATATGATATGTAGCTGATGTTGCCCTTGAACCTGTGATCCTCTTCCCTCTGCCTCATAAGTATTGAGATTATGCCGTGCTACTGAATGAACCCACCAGGGCTTGCTAGGCCAGCATGCTCCCAGCTGTTACAACCCTATCGTCCTGTAAAGAGTTTGAGTCAATCTGTGCTTGTGCCTGTGCTTGGGAGGCCAAGGAAAGAGGGTTGTTGAGTATTTGAGGTTGGTCTGGACTATATAATAAAAACATTCCAGCTGGGTGGTGGTGGATGCCTTTAATCCAGGCACTCAGGAAGCAGGGGCAGGCTGATCTCTGTGAGTTCAAGGCCAGCCTATTCTACAATGAGTTCCAGAACAGAGCTGTTACACAGAGAAACCCTGTCTCGAAAAACCCAAACAAACAAAAATAAATAAATAAATAATAAAGCCATTTCGAAAAATAAAAAAGGGCTGGGTGGTGATGGTACAACCCATTAATCCCAGCTAAATTGGAGGCCAGCCTGGTCCACAGAGCAAATTCCAAGACAGCCAGGGCTACACAGAGAGTGGCCTACTCCATGCCATACAGGGAAAATATGCAAACATATCAATAAAATAAAATAATCTTAACAAATAAACAAAACCAAAATGAGCCAGGCAGTGGTGGCGCATGCCTTTAATCCCAGCACTCAGGAGGCAGAGGCAGGAAGATCTCTGTGAATTGGAGGCCAGCCTGGTCTACAGAGCTAGTTCCAGGTCACCCAAGATTGCACAGAGAGACTTTATCTCAAAAAGTTAAATTAAATTAAAAAATACTTTTAAAAGCCAGGTGTGATGGTACACACCTTTGATCCCAGCACTTGTGAGACAGAGGTTAGTCTACAGGGTGCATTTCAGGATAACCAGGGTCACACAGAGAAAGCCTGTCTTGGGGGAAAAAAAATCGTTTGAAACCCGTGCCTCTCCTCAAATGCCAAAGCCACTCAAGCTATTGTATCCTATATCATGGGGTCCACGGGGGTGACCTCATCATCCTGAGCTCTGGTATAGGGCCTTCTATCCCTCATCCATCTGAAGGCTCCATGACAATGGGACCTGTCCTGTCAGCATAGTGAAGTTTCTTGGGGTCCAGGGCTGTCTCCCCCTCAGTCCAAACACCCTAAAAAGTTCTCTTTGCCTTTCCACAAATACTTAGATCCTGGCTCTGGCCACAGGGTTCAGACTCCATTTTGACAGTTCCAGAAGGCATTTTTCTTAGGCTCTTCCTTCTTCACACATCCTGGTTCTTGGAACCCTTAACCTAGCAAGCTCATATCCTGCCTATAGCTCCAGGGTCTGATGGAGGTCACTTTGTTACTCTGGTGACCTCGTAGGAAGATCCAGTACGTAGTTAAGTGCTCCTGTGGGATGAGAGGTCGCTGGACTGGAAAGACTGCTCCCTTCTGCCTCCTGGAAACCCAGCCTGCCTACTCAACCATCACTAGTCATCTGGACAGCCTTCTTCCCTGGGAGCAAGCTATGCAGTGCATCTCCCAGCTACCAATGGGCTGAGATTAGATGTCAGAGCAGATTTCACTTGTAGAGGGGAGGCAGGGGCGGCTTGAGGTCTTGCACCCTGCTGAGCAACCCAGCTAATGGGCTTGTGGGGGTTTGCTTCAGAGCCTGAGCACTCCTGTCTGAAGGTGGAGGGCATTGGGAAAAGGAGACATCATTCCCTAGACTCTGGTGCCAAAGCAAAGTGAAAGAAGGCTCTCTGTCAGTTCCCAAGGCTGTGAGAGCCATTGGGTCCTCTGTCATCATTGTGTTCTGAGGTGCGCCTTCACTTAGCCTCTCCCAGTTGCTCCTTGATTTACTGTTAATATTACTTTTATGTTTGAGTCACGGTCGATCTCCCATGTAGTCTTGTCTAGTCTGGAACTCACTAGACCAGGTTGGCCTCAAACTTGTGGTAATTCTCCTGCCTCAAACTTCCTAGTGCTGGCTATACAAGGGTGTGCCACCATGTCCAGTTTGTTGGTTTGAGACAGGGTCTCAGTTTGGCCTCTAACTAACTAACTAACTAACTAACTAACTAACTAACTAACTAACTAACTCACTGTTTGACTGAGAATGGTTTTAGCTTCCGATTCACTTCAGAAGGCATTTTTCTATACAGCCCTGCATATCCTGGAACTCACTGTGTAGATCAGGTTGGCTTCTAACTCAGAGCTCTGCCTGCTTCTGTCTCCTGAGTGCTGGATTAAAGGCAGGGCCACCACACTTGGCTTGTATGGGCAAATTTCTTTGTATTTGCTTTTGGTGGAATTTTGCAATTTGTCTAGAGCAGATGTTTTGTGTGGCCACAGAAGCCTTTGTTATTACTTGATCAATGGAATTTTTTTGATAGGTAACATTTTTCAAACCACTGAGCTCCTGGAGATATAATAGAGGATCTGTGTGGTGAAAATAATAGAAACCACTCACTTAGAGAGAGAGAGGAAGCAGAATAGATGATGCCCTGCGGTTTCTAGTGTGTTAGAGAACATGATCCCACCGCAAGGAACTCCATCCAGGACTGATGAAGGAGATGTACCAGCTTCACCTCCAGAGGGTTGCAGGGCATCTAATGAAAAGGCTCAGGACTTGAGAGGGGAGGCGTGCCTGCAGGGGCCAGGACACAGGGGCCAGGTGTTTGTTCTGAGTGCTTGTTCCTTGGTTGTTTGTAGCAACAGCCCTAAGACCCGACCCGGCAAACCCCCCCCCTTTTTTTACTATGATTGCATGCATAATTAATCAGACCTTTAGATAAAGTCAGGCGGCAGCATCCGGGATTGATCTGGAAAAGTTGCAGTTAACCCTTAGCTTTGGGTGTGAATGGAAGGAATTCTGGTGGTATCAAATGTTGGGACAGCAAACAATCCTAAACTACTACTCCTGATTGGTTTATAAGCATATTCTTGGATGGCTCATTTTAATAAAATCATTGGACTTCATTTTATTTTGTTTTTTTAAGACAGGGTTTGTCTGTGTAGCTTTGGAGCCTGTTCTGGAACTTGCTCTGTAGACCAGGCTGGCCTCAAACTCATAGAGATCTGCCTGTCTCTGCCTTCAGTATGCTGGGATCAAAGGCATGTGCCACCACTGCCTGGCCTCACTGGATATTTTAAGTTTGCTGTAAAAATTCTGTCTGGATTGTCTGGAAGTCTTGAGAAATATGAGAAGGGAGGCAAAGAGACAGAGAAAGTTAATGAGAAATATTCCCAAAGAGAATTCTCAGAGTTCCTATTTCAGTCACTCTCCCATTGCTGTAGTTTCTTATCAGACTTCTTACTCAGCCCCCTCCCCCCAAGTGCAGGGTCAAACTTACCATTAGATAGTTCAGGATGTGAGTGAACTCCTGAGCTTCCTATCTCCAGCTCCCAGATGCTGCTGGGATTACACACTGGGCTCTAGTATGAAATGTCTGTAATTAATAAAGATAATATATAAAACAAACCCAGTTTTTCAAACAACAGTAAAGACTTGTACATAACTGCCACTCAAAGTCAGAGCTAGAACAGCTGCAATACTTTTGAAGTGCCCCGTCCGTCCTTCTGTGATCAGCCCTAAGCTACTTTGCAGGAATCAAGCACATTCTGCAATTTCGTGTCTAGCATTCTCTTTCCTTTCTTTGCCTCACTTCTCCTGGATGTATAGCTAAACAATTTACTGCTTAGTTTTATGCATTCTTGAACTTGTAGAATTAGAAGCATAGTGTGTGTAATTCCTCCCTGTCAGAGCTTTGGATCATTGTGAGAGTCAGCCGAGCTGGTGCATGCCACTTCTTTCATTGTTACTGCTCACAGCTACCCCATGGTGCATGGTCATGGCAGGCGTTAGGGGTTTCTAGCTTTGTTACGACAAATATTGCACTAAATATTATTTTACTGAAACTTTCTATTACATTCATTTATTGTGTGTGGGTGTTCAAACCTATAGAAATCGGTGCTCTCTTTATACCACATGGGTCCTGGGGATTGAACTCAGGTTCTTGTCCACAGGCATCTTTACCTTTGAGCCATTCACTGGCCATGTATATGTCTACAGGAACCAATGTGTGCATCGTGCTCTGCTTTTTAAAAGTCTTCATTTTCTT